AAAAGGCAAACCTTATAATTCGACTTAAAACCCAATCAACATCAATGAAATGTGTTGTGACAGTCATGAACCCTTTCTTTTGATTATTAGCAGTCCACATGTCAGTTGTGATGGCTACTCTACTCTCATTCTTCTCCAACAACTTAATTGTCTTTTTCTTTTCTTGCTAAAAAATCTTCAGAATATATTTTTTAATTGTGTTTCTCTAAACCACTATAAATGTAGGTTGTAGACTATATGAGTACCTCCTAAATCCAATGTGATTGACCATAGAAAGAGGATACTCATGTAGAATGATCATATTAGCAAGTTCTCTCCTTGAGTTTTCTGAATCAAAGGTGTTGTATGTGACTTTAAACTTTCCATCCTTCTTATTTTGACTTGCCACAAAACATTGTTGCCTTATCTGTTGATTATGCCTTGGGCACCTATGCAAATGCTCGTGCAAATGTTTAGTTCCATTTTCTGATTCCCCACCAAGCTTCTTATTACAGTAGTTACAAACTACCTTGACTTGTCAATCAATAGTTACTTTTTTAAAATGTTCCCATACAATAGAAAATGACTCTCTTTTTAGATGGTGCTTCTAAAGTTGTGGTACTTGAACTTCTTTTGCCAACATCGTTCCTAGAGCTTGAAGATGGAGGAGCTATTGTAGTTGTATCTTTTTCATTTGGGGTTGAAGCAAGAGGTGGGATAGCACTTTGGCTAGCTAGTACTGGTAGAGAGTCCAAATTATCTCCTTGTCCAGACATCAAGATTCAAGACTAACCTTAAAGAAAAAATATATATTTTATAAGTAGTTAAAAATGTTAGACAAATAAAAAACAAGATAGAAAATAGTGATTTAAAAGTTTTCAGTTTTCATCTGATAAACAAAATTATAAAGAACTAGAGAGGCCATTATCCAATGTTGATCCCAACACCCAGCTATCAGGGGTCTTGGGAGGGGTAGATTGGATATGGTCCTAACCTACACCAAGTAATGGCCCATAAGACTATAAATGTACTAATCCTTATGAAAGTCATCATCATCATCACCATCATCATCTAAGCCCTGTCCCAACTATATGGAATCAAATAGCTATCTATGTGAAAGTCCATTACCAAAATGGAGAAGGTTAGGGAGAACTCTCTTGTAGTTAGAAGATTTAGAAAGAAGAGTAAGGGCCAAGACGTTTTGCTAGATTGAAAAGGCGTCTTTGTGGGATTGGACCACAAGAGGCTCTTGAAACCTTGGAGGATTGTAAGGAAGAAGTAGAGAGTTCCTGGTCTGGTTTTTTAGGTGTTGATGGCTTCTTTGACTCATCGGCTCTTTTTAGGGACTAGGGTTATGAGAAGTTCCTCTTTCTCGAAGAAGGAAAAATTATACAAACTGGGATATAGTATATAGAATAGGGCTTTGACTGTATTGATTAGAATAGGGATGGCATATGGGTGCATTCAGGCTTAAAATAGAGAGAGCAGATACAAGTAAGTATTTCAAAACTGCTGCTTATGGAGGTCTAGAAGCTATGGTTTGTAAAGAAAAATATAGGCATTCAATGAAAAGGA